AACAAGTTGCAAAGAAACTAAGTGCTTATATGAGAGTCAGTGACTATTAATACAACTGTCGTGAGTGAAAGCTAAAACATACCACACAGGGATACTGCAGACAGCCACTGATTGCAGGGTTTTGTTGGTAATATTCTTATCATGACTTTTACATGTTTGACAATATTCCAGTTACAAATGTAAAATACTTTTTACTTTTTTGAAATGTACAAGGAGTTAATAAATTGTTGTACCTCTGTCTTTGCTCAGATCAAAGCCTAATTAATATGCTTGCTGTGAAATACGTTTTGCATGTACAAAAAAATAAACGTATATGCTTTTTCCACATTGACCAGAAAATCCAGCAGATATAAAGTTTGCAGCTTCAATAGGCAGATTTATTTTTCCTCAAGAGGTTGGTACTAATTTCACTCAGGATGACAGATTTTGTTTTTATCTTGACCAGCAGATGGCAGCATTTGCACCTGAAAAACATTAGTGCCATACAGTGCAGGACCTCCAGATGAGTTCATGGTGACCCAATCAGAGAGACTGCGCTTTCTTCACCTAAGTGACATGTTTTTATTTTTTATTTAGTACATTTATTCATATGAAACTCAGGTGATAGAAGAAATTCAATTCAAACTTCATTAAAGATACAGAACCCCGTATCTATAATGAAGAGATAGAAATAGAAAAAGGGAAAAAGAAAAAAAACAATTTGTAACTTTGGTCTATTCTACTATTGCAGAAATTTGCTTTAAGTTGTGGAAATGCGATGCAGAAAAGGAGACCGTGGAAAAGCTGTGAATTCCTATCTAATAAAGGCAACCTTTGTATTGTGTCAAGAGACTCACATATTTAAATAAAGATTGAAAAAGTTTCATGCTGCTCATGCTTGTACTGTATTTAAGGTATGTCTTTGTGCATATAGTCATGCAGAGGTGTGGCAGTCTGTGAAGGCCTCTTCACTTCATCTTGGTTTCATGGGAACCTGCGTGCAGCTAATCCTCCTTTTGGGTGTAGAGGGCTTCTCCAAACAAATCATCCAGTTCTAAAACCCAATGCTCCTCAAGTGGGCTCCTGGCTCTCTTTGCAAAGTCCCACCATGTAACACACACACACACAAAAAGAGAAACCCTCTTTCTTTCGTACGTTACACATAAAACAGCTACCTACCGTGAGGCAAATCCCTTGTCTCCGTGCCTTTTCTTCCAAGAGCAGGGGAAGGAGAAAGGAATGGGGTGTGGATAAGCCAGACCAGCAGGAGACTGTCAAGTTGAAGGACTGGATGACCTGTTTTGGAAGACGGGCTGAGTCTGAATAATGGCTGCTCATGAAGGGGTCATTGTTTGATTGGAAGCTCAAGGAAAGCGAGGATAAAGGCTTGGATCTTGATACTTTGATGTGGCTCCATCTGCTGTTTTTCATTATACATCAGAGAGTTGTTGTAGTGTACTGTATCAACACCTTTGCATCAGTTTACAGAGTCACTGTGTACCAGACTCGGTTCCAGGTACACAGTGCCCTGCCCACTGTTGTCATCATGGATCTCCTTCAGAAGGAGAATCTGTAATCTGCTTAGTTTGACGTTGGATTCTGTTCTTTAGGTTCTGAAATAGATAATGCTCTTCATCTCCGTTTCATCTTCAAGGCTTGTTATTTGTGTAACATTGTGTAAAAAGAAAAGATCATACGGTGTAAGAGCTCTCTAGGTTTGTAAAAATAGAAAAAAAGGTTCTTTAAGAGAGCTTCTATATTTACCAAATTGAAAATCGTGTTTTCAGGTTTTCCTCTGTAAACCATATTAAAAAGAATGCATAGTTAAAAATGAAGGCTCTAAAATTAGAGAATCCTCAGAAAAGGCTCTTTATTTATTCAAGAGAAAACTTAAAAGGCTCTTTGAAGTACCATATTAATAGCGCATTACAATGAGTATAGAGGTATTTGTCGTGTATTTGTACCTCTCTTTTTATTAGTCCTGTAAAAGTGAAACCAGTTTTTAAACATTTTCAGATTTCCTTTTACATACATTTTGATTTGTAACTTTTCCCACAACAAAATAAATCACATTGATATTTCGTCAAGCTTGGGAAACTGTCACCAAACAGGAAATGGTGTATCTAAAAACGACTTTCACATGGATCTAAGCATAAACAAAGGAAGCACAACTTTGAGTTCAGTGGAGCACAAAATTATTTGTGAAACATCAAGTCGAGTTAACTTTGTGAAGTTTAATTGCATAATGATATTACACGTGTTGTGTATCAGGATGAAGGTCAAAAACTGACTGGATAGTCATAATGTCATGGTCCCATTTTTTATTTTTTTCTGTACCTAATGTTTTGAATATGAACCTTTTATACGCAGTGGTGAAATAACTCCTACATTAATTTATCAGAAAGCAAGTGTGAATGTGTCCTACAAAGCTGATTCAACCACTCAGCATCCTGAAGTGACTGAATCTTTATCAGCGCAGACACAACCTCTGCACAGTATTGCATGACTTAAGTAATGTAAATATAGGTTGTTGCTGCAATTCTAGCTAAATTTACTGCAAATGTGTGTTTTTTAGCATGTCAAAAGTATGACACTCATGTTGTGGAATTTTTAGACATGTCTGTAGGAATCTGTGTCAGACACAGACGGTGGTGCTATCATAATTCTGTCATTGTTGTAGACCCAAAAAAGAGAAGGCTATGGGAGGTGCATGATGAATCTGGATTCTGATGATGAACAGAACCAGAAGCTGGCATAAGTTCACAGAACACAACAAGAGCAGGATGGAAACAACAACAGAGGATTTTAGAAGGAGAACTATTAATGTTGTGGAGGTTGATTACTGGAATATTACAAAGGCGAGTTAGTCAGCAGATGAGGAACAGCTAATAGAGAACAGTTGGATAAGATACCGAGGAAAGGCGCAGAGGGAACCAGGAAAAACAGAAAATATATTAAACACTTAAATAAACAGAGATGCAAACTTTGGAATATACAGAAACCCTAAAACCTAGAGATCATGACTGGAACATTAATTTCTTAAAGCTGCGCCTCTCCATGTATTACAGTTGAGTATGCACATCCAATATTATACTCAAAATTAAATTCACATAACAGTACTACTGTCTTCAATGATGATTTTCTTACAGATGTTTTCTTAAACATTGTACAACAACATTAAGGAACTATAAAAATGCTACTATAGTGTTTTTTCATGAAAGCTTACTATTATCGTTATTTTATTGTTATTTCCTGTCTGGCATTTCAGGCATACCTTAGAGAAAATGATTCCCCACATGCATTAATAAAAATATGCAAACAAAACTTGCAAAAAAATCCATGGCAGAATAAGGAGTAAGAACAAAAAAGTAAAATGCAAAGAAAGAAAGTTTCAACCAAGGGGCTGAACTAGAAAGCAGTGATGGGTAAATGAGGCATCATGAAGCATTTTGACCCAAAGCAAAACTGTATTGATCCTGTGTTGGTACCGTGTCGCTAAATACTGACACCTGCTGGACATGATGAGTCCTTACAGCCAACGTAGTTGACAGATTGATTTGATGACCTAATCTATACAATAAGATTTAGGGCATTGTATTTTATTGCATATTATATATTGTATTTTGCCATATGTTCAGCTAAATTAAAAATATAATTGATATTCTTGGATATTCTCAATAAATAATGTGAACATGTACCATAAAGTGAAAATTCAAGTGAACGTGTTTGGATGCCTGTGGACAGTTTTTCACAAATTTTCATTAAAAAAAAGTTTTTCCAACATGCTGAAATTTAGTCTGCATGCTTTTTTGACACAATTTCTCCTTCTGATAACCAATACCTTATTTTCAGATTACCTGTCTCATATTATACTGTCATGGGCTGGTAATAGTTTAAAAATGTATGTTAAAAAATGCATGTTTTGTAAAAGTTACATACGATGCAGCCTGAAAAGTTTTGAAACCAAAGTTGGGATTAATAAAAAGAGTTGTAATGTTTAGGGTCCACATGATGGCGCTGTTGTATAACAACTGTTGTGGGACAAATCGTTTTGTTTATTATCGGTACACTGATTTTTATATTTCTTTCAATCAAATAATCACTCGTAGAATACAGAAAGTCTTATTATTAATATGATGAATCAAAATTAGGCTGTTATATCTTTCAGTTTTCTAAAACTAGAACTGTGTACAGGATGAATTTTAAAGGAAGCCGATGCATTAATGTAGAATAAAATAGAATAGAATAAATGTGGGTCTGTTTTACATTTCCAGTCAGATCTCCCACGGCAGGCTAAGGGATGAGACGGTGGACTTCTAAAATAACTATTTGGACATTTAGTTGAGTTTGCATTGCAATAATTAAGTACACAAGTTATAAATGGAGGTACCAGATTTGGATATCATTTTAAATATGATGAACAGGCATTTGAGGTATTGTGCAGGTCAAAGAAACCAGATGCTACCCCAACATGTCTTGTCTTAGTATTCCAGTCACACTGTGCAGATAAGCTGGTCGTCTTCATGTGCCAAGACAATCTTGCTCTGTAAAGATGTCATATCAAGATGCATTGAAGATGGCATTCTAAATTTTGTTAAAGGTCCACTATTATTATGTGTCAGAAAATTGAACTTTCTACACGCAGTCAGTTTTCCTTTTTCTTGTAAAGCAGAATTCAGACTTAGTTCACTTTTGTCATTTTAATGCAAATCCCACATTTTTGCTATACTGTGCAAAAGAATTTTAATATGTTTCAAATTTTTGTTTAACTTTCTCTTGATCATGTGCATTGGAGCTTCTTCAGTTAAAATATTTATTTGTCATACTCAAATTACAACATGGAAGCAACTGTTGTCTTTATGAATGCTTTATTGCGGTAATATGCGAGTACAAGGGAAGAAACAAGTTATCAGTAAAGATTATCACATTTAGATTGAATTTCCAAACTATGTTCTTTTTATTAATATAAAAGTCAAAGATAGAAATGCAGCAAGCAAAAATGGTTCAAATCAAAATCCTTGTCACAGTAGCTGGCCCAAACCTGGCTGAGGAGCAGATTTAGCAAACCCTTTATCTCCAAGCAGAACCCCGTTTCTGGAGTAGAAAACTTTAGCCAAAGATGGATCCATGGGAGAAGGAATGTACTCCTGACACTGGCTGCCACTAAGACCTGGTGCACACTCAACTGAGTAGCTAAAATAAAAGGTACCATGTTTAAACATGCAGCTGTCTGAAACTCTTCCGCTGCGGAGTTCAGTGGAGCACTCACCGAGCTTGTCACTGTTCCAATATGTGTCTTCATCATAAACCGTGAATGTCAGCCTGTTATACATATTAATGTTAATGGGTCCAAAGTTGAAAGTTTCTGGCCAGTTGGGATTGTCATTATTAGCTATAATTTTAGTGCGTTTGTTTTCAACACCATATGTAACGACCACTGAACCGTCTGTCTGAGTAAACCAATCACCATACAGTCCCCTTGCATAAAGGTTGTACACCATCAGTGTTGCAAGACCTTTCCCAGCAGGACAGCAGTTTGACTTAATGAGCTGGTTTTCTTTACACACACAAGCACAGGGATCTCTTCTGCTGGATCTGTGTCCAATTTTACAGGATTCTGAACATTTCTTTAACACTGCATTGTCCTTAATATACTTTTCCACCTCTACTTTAAGCCCACTTTTGGCAGGATGACCATCTGGCAGAATTGTGTGCAGAGGCTTCAGGTTGTAACTCACGATATCAGGTGTAGTTTTAAGAGACTCTTTCCATCTGATGTGGTTACTGGGATTAATAGACCTTTGGAAGAACACAACATCATTTTTGTCCCCACCAACAACTTCGGTGATACGTTCATGAAATACAGTATGGAAACTTTGACCATGGCTCAGTTTCTGTTTCTTTGCCTGACAGTGTTTATACATAGCCTCAATGCTTGCCGTTTTATGAAAGTTAAGTGAAGCTTCAACTGACAGACAGTCACTAACTTCTGTTGCCGACAGCCCGTTCATGGATGCCTGGCAGGTCCTAATCGATGTTGTTGCTTGCATCTCCCCTCCAAGAAAAACCTGTGTGATGTAATGTGTGCCGTAAGTATCGATCAATCTGCGATATGGTACCCCAGAAGAATTTGGAGGAAGAGACTTCACAGCCGTTTCAAATTCATGATGCAGAGGTGGGTTTGTTGTTAGTCTGTAGCTATGGAAAGAATGAAAACAGAGTTATTTTTTGTCACAGTCATACTTTATGCTCATCAGCTTAATGAAACGTTGCACAGTAAGTTCTGTCTTGACACTCACTTATAGTAGTTGCAGCTAACAGAATGGCGGGCAAAGGTGTAGCGGTCTTGTTTTGACTTTTTCATGCCAAATTGAGCTACCTTGGAATGGGAACCTCCAAAGCCAACACCAACAGTGACTGAAGGGTCCACGGGGATTTTCAAACCAATTTTCCAGTCGTTGGATACAGATGATGTGGAATCATTGACAAGAGATTCAACAGAATCATAGACCATGCTGGAGACCTTCAAATTGCATTTCGGGAGGTTTCTCCAGTCCACCACAGAGACTGGGACCTTTTGTTTCTCTCGATTCTGGTAGCTGTTTTGATACATTCTACAAGTGCCATTTCCAAGATCCCATGTTTCAGTGTCGATGACATAGGCAGCTTTTCTTTGCATTTTGACAATGTCGAAGCCTTCTCCACCCAGGTTGTAACCTGGAACAAAGGGAGCAGTTTTACATTGCTCTGGTGAACCAGGGAAACTCACAGAGGTGGAGAGACACAGAGGACTGAATGTCCAGGTCAGGAACAGGAGCTGCAGAAGTCCAGTCATCTGTGAAAAAAAAAAAAAAAATCATTTAAATGTTTAAATTGCATCGCAAAAGATTCACAAACATACACACAAAGAAAATTTCTGCTTCAGGATTTTAAGTAAATACACCGATTATATGGAATGTGGAACAGCAAAAATTTCAGTTTAGGAGAACGTTTTTAAAGTCTTACTCTGACAGAAGACTGCAGGCTCTGATTGTCTGTCAAGCGTCTTGCTGATTTTGTACTATTGATGTGAAGGTGGAGCTTTTCTTATCTGCTTAGTTTCATACCACGTGTACCCACGTAGATACGTGTGCATTTTATTTTCTTTACTTCTTTCAAACTTTGAATAAAAACATGGGGAAGTGGTTAATCGATGTTCACATCTCACTTGGATTTCCACTAACTGTTTTGTAACTTCCAACATTTTTTGAACCTTTCTGTGCCGGTTAATAAAACAACTTGGACGATAACTATTGATTATTTTAATAATCAATTAGCATAGTGATTCTTTTTTTGGTTAATTGAACAGTAGGTACTTTTAGTAAAACATGCTCCAAAAATCAAGTATTTGGAAATTTGAAATACAAATTCACAGAACAACATGGCAAAAAACATAAAAGCTCAAATTTATTTCCCAGAAAATAGCATTTTCAAAATATTGATTTTAAATTAAAAGTGCCAATAAATTTTTGTTACATTTGCAAGGATAGTGAACAATTTTTATGACAACCTAGCTTTATCGATGAACTTAAGAGTAGAAGAAAATGTCACCATACTCAGCATCTCTACATGCTCAGAACTCAGACCCGCCCTGCCATCAGTACCTGTATCGTTCAGTATCGTTCTGATGGTGGAGGCGGCAGGAATGCACAGAACAGACTTTGCTTGTTTTGCCAGAGTTGGACAGCATCTTTCATCTGTTTTCCAACAAAGGAGTGGGTTTAATTTTGGATTTTCATCAAAACTTGCACTTGAGTCAGATGACGATTCTTCTTGTCTGCTTGTCCACAGGGGTTTGGATCATTACTTGTTTGCATTGATTTCTTCACTTGAAGGATCATGGTTTGCACCATGCTTTGCACTTTGAATACTAAGACAGGAGGTAAAATTTAAGTCTTCTGAATCTGGGATGAAACGCAGCAGAAATTAAGATGGTGGTAAGATGGTGCATTCTGGTTTGAACACCAAGTCTTTATCCTGCCTTAATGTAATATCAGGTATGGAGGACCTTCACTGGTGCTGCTTGAAAGTCTGAACCCTACGTGGCATTCTTAAGGTTATAAACAAGCTGTGGGAGTGCAGACAGGTTTGCATTCTTATTCACTCAGTAAAACAGTTTCACCCTCAAATGGAACAAGTGCTTGACTTATTCTTCTGCAAGACATGACTGTTCAGGTGTCAGATTTAGATGACTGCATCTACCTTTGGGAGTTACTGTTGGATATGACAGTGTAACTGGCCAGGAAAGCTGGTGCTTAACCTTTGAACTGTGCCTGATGGCCAAACTATTTGACAAATACACTTTTGGGTATCTGTTAAAATGTCTTCTTCCTCTTACTGCAATATGCACAATCCAGATGGCATCTTGCTTATCTCCTTTTGTTCTTTATCCTATGATAACAACTTTGAAGCCTGATTTTATGAAGAGCCTCTCATTGTGTATTATCTTGTGAACAGGGTGCACTGTTATATCCCTACCAATAACATACAAGCAGCAACGTAATCTTAATATAGGCTCATTTAAATGGCCTTTAGATTATTTAGATCACAATGCTGTCTGTTTAGCAAAATGTTTTAGCAATTATGACTCAGAGTAAGACAAATCGAAGCTATTTTCCTGCAGACAAAAAACAATTCTTAGAATTATTGTAGTAACTTATCGAAGAAAAAAAGCAATAAATGACAAACTCATGAGATGCAACTCACATTTTTAGTCAGTGATCTCAGAGTTGCATCCTGCTAAAAGCAAATTGGTGAATTAAATTGTATTATATAATCAGACATCTAGTTTTTGAAAAGCTTCCTCTAAGGCAATGTTGCTTAGAGGAAGCGTTTTCACAAAATGGTGCCAGACACGTACAAATTATCTTTAACAGCTTTAACTTAAGAAAACCACAAAGAATCACACATCTTGTTTTTGGTACTATGCATTTTGCGCACTTTGACATTATTTTTTAGGATGAAGAAAGTTGACATTTCTGGTGTAGTGAGACTGCTTTGTAAATAAAAATATTTCTCTTCAAAATAAGACCAAACATCTTCTATAAGTTGTATAGTAAAGTGAAGAACTGTTGATGAACTTCTACCTGTATTTATTATGAACTATTGTCTAAACCTAATCTTTATTTTAATGTTTTCTAAAACTCAATCTGCTTTTATGTAGGCTTTAATCAATCTGTCTCAATGTAATCCTGTCCACTGCGTCCTCCACACTAACACTAACTAACTTCGTGTCCTTTTCCACCACATCAATAAATCTCCTGTTTGGTCTTCCTCTCTGCCCCCTTCTCTTTTAGCCAGACAGCTTAATCAGTCAAAAGTGAAATGCCATTGTGCTTGATCCACTCATAGGATAATTGTATTTTATTTATTTACCTTTTGTTTGTTTTTTTGTTTTTTGGGGTGGGGGTTACCTTTTTGGTAAATCTATTAAAATGAATATGGTGTGACTTTATATGTGCACTTATGGCTGATTTAAATAGGTCCGTTTTCCTTCACAGTTTTTTTTTACTCATCTAGTTATGGCCTTCTTTAAAATGTATTAGTTTCCTATAGTGTTGGAAAATAGTTTTGTAAGTGTGTCAGATTTTCATCTTTTAGCTTTTGCATCAGTGCTGTTTGATAATGTATAAGCTTTTCATTGTTTCAGTATAAGTCGATATTCTTTTTAACAAAGAACCCAAATCCATGATTGGGCTGGCAAATAGACCAGCAACTGGAATGCCTTCCTAGTTGCAAGCAGTCAGTGCGATCATCACATCTGGTGCTTAACGACTGAACTGTGCCTGTGGTGCAAACCAGCACGCCATAAGATAACTAATGAATTAATTGAAGAATATATGCTTTTTAAACTCTTTGCAAATTAAAATCTGAAAATGGTTGGATGTCGCCTAATTTGATGTAAAACTCAAACAGCATTTAATTCACCATAATGCCTTCAAAAGTCACCTGATCAGTAAAAAAAACAATTGTCCTGTGCATCATTTAATTTCAGCATGAAGGCAGATGTTCTGTGAAGGCCTCGAGATTTTATTTAGAGAACATTAAAAGCAACATGAAGACCAAGAAACACAGAAAACAAGTCATGAAGTAACTTCTGGAGATGTTTTAAGCGAATATAGGTTACAAAACAATATTCAAAGTTGCATCAGTGCTGGTTTTTGTGAGTTAATCAATAGCAACACAATTTCTGTTCCTATCAATAATTTCTGTGGTACAGGTATCAAACTCACCTTTGACTAGAGGCCAATGTCCTGATATATATGTAATTTTTCAATATTACTTGCTGTATTATGATGAAACTATACTTTTTTTCTATTCTCTATCCTTTACAAATTGTTATCTCGTGATAAAAATTTAGCATGATTCTCGTATCATAAGATTTTGGCTAGAAGATTGCAACATCTGTTTGGGGATGTTTTTTTTTTTACGTATGGTTATTTCTTCACAGATTGCACTAGATAAAGGCAAACTGCTCTCTGTACACGAGCAACAAATTCACGCATTCTGCCTGTGGTCAGCTTTGCTTCTCTGTTTTCACAAGATCGTATCATCTCATCTGATCAAACTTCTTCCTTGTAAAAAGGAAGACATACAGCAGATTGGTCAGGGAGAACTTTGTAGAAAGATTTAAAGAAGGGTTAGGTTATAAAATAACATTCCAAGCTCTTAATATCAGACGGAGCTCTGTTTAATCTCTCATTTGAAAGGAGAAAACACGTGGAATAACTGCAAAATTAGCGATTTATGGCTGCCTAATATGACAAGGCATTAAACTGAGAATGAGCCAAAATCATCAATACACATCAAATAGCAACTCTAAACAGGTGGGGGTTTAGTTTTGATTTAAAAAGCCTCACTGTTTGAGCTGTTTTGCAGTTTTCTGGAAATTTGTTCCAGATTTGTGGTGCATAGAAGCTGAATGCTGCTTTTTCATGTTTGGTTCTGGTTCTAGGGATGCAGAACAGAACCAGTTTCTCTCTGCATTTTTTTATATAAAGGAAAAATTCACCCTCTGGTGTTTATTAGAGCTCTGCAGTTTTTCCACTCACTAACTTGGTGAATCTGAAAAGTTGCAGCTCATATTGTTACCACAAAAACATGAAAAACTGAACCATAATCTATATTACAGTGGTTACCATCACATAAAGAATTAAGACTTCTTGTTCTTGCTATATTTCTGTTTCTTATTCTGATAATGTCCCATTTGATCATATAGCATGAATTAAGTAAGCTAATTTCTTTGCACAGTGCTAGATGTCCACTGGGTGGTGCTATAGTGGTAAAAAAAAATGACTTCCTCATAATTCTATAAGTCACTCTTATCTTTATTTTACTAGTATATTAGTATACAAGAATATATAGAGTATATATTTTATGTATTTTTTTATGTGATTTTTTAATTGATAATGGCACAAAAAATCTTGCTTGTGAAAAATCATTATGATTATCATAATCATAAAACATATTAAGAGTAAATATATGTAAAGTATGTTAATTCACTCAATATAAAAATAATAGATTACTCAAACAAAAGATGAATTTCCTGCAGCTCTGTCTCCAGTCTCCAGTGTATATATACAAAATCAATAGACATGCAAATTTATCCCAGGTTCAGCTTCTGTTACGCTCCAAAAAATATTTACTATGACAGCACAGTTAATGTCTATTGGTCTAAAATGATATGAAGCTTAATGTGAAGAAGTTCTGCAGACTGAGAAGTTTTGGTTGATCAAGTTTTTCACTCTGGGGCATTTCTCACACCATCATTAACATTTGCACAACAAATAATGCAAG